CTGCGTAACAAATTACCATAAACTTAGCAGATGAAACAACACCCATTACCCATTGCTATAGAGTCAATTCTGACTCATAGCAACCCTACAGGACAGAGTAGAACTGCCCCATAGGGTTTCCAAGGTTGTAAATCTTTAAGGAAGCAGACTGCTACATCTTTCTCCGTGGAGTGGCTCATGGGTTCGAACCACTGACCTTTTGGTTAGCAGCCAAGGGATTAATCACTGGGCCATGAGCAGTCCTTTGAAACAATGCAAATAGGATTTAATCAAGGGGTTAGCAGGGCTACATTCCTTTCTGGGGATGCTAAAGGGGAATTTGTTTCCTTGTCCTTTCTAGCTTCTATAGGCCACCCGTATTCCTTGGCTCATGGCCCATTTCTTCCATATTCAAAGCAAGCAACACTGCATCTCTCTGTGCCTTCCTTCCATAGTCACATCTTCATCTTCTATTTTTAAGAACTCCTCAAATTATCCTAGATAATTTAGGATAATGTCTTTGTTTTAAGGTTAGCAGATGAGAAATCTTGAGTCCATTCACAGCCTTAATTCTCGTTTCCTATGTAACATAAGGTATTCACAAGTACCAGGGATTAGGACATGAACATCTTTGGGGAGCCATTATTCTATATACTAAATAACTAGCATTTATTGAATGTTTATTATTTGCCAGACACTCTTATAAGCACTTTAAACAAATATGATTCTCATAATAATTATAGATTGTATTAGTATTCTCATTTTGTCAGGTGGGGAAACTGAGGCACAAAGAGATTAAATAACTTGCCCAATATTACCTAGATAGAAAGTAGAGGAGCCAGGGTATGAAATCAGAAGTCCACATGCAGAGCCTGTGCTTTTAACCTATGAATTGCGTTACTTCAAAGTCAAGATTCCCATCTAAATATATTACATGCTGTCATTATTATCAGGATGCTTAAGTCACAGTCCACAAAAATCCTGGAAACCATAATAATTATCTGGAACAAAGATGACTTTGACATTCAAAACAGCAAAAAAATGGAAAGGCAGACTCCATACAGAAAAAACAAACCAATGACTTTTGAGAGTTTTGTCCCACTGGCATTTACTGGACTGTAGGTCAGATGACTACCAGGATATCAGGCAGATTGGGGTAACCTCAGCCCAAGTGATGACAGAAACATGGCATGTCTTGCTACCCCATGTCCAAGGGCATGAGTTTCAGCAGAGGGATACTGGCATAGTCTTGCATGAGCTTTGGGAATGTAATGGGAAAGCTCACTGGTGTCAGTACTATTCATGGCCCCCAAATGTCACTTTGAAGTTTATGAGGTCCTTTTGCATATATGTAACATATATGGAATGAAACTTCTCTTTATGTCTGGAAATTTCAGTTGAATATCCCAAACTGAGAACAACTGGTGACAAGTATCACTCAGCACTCTGAAGAGAGACATCTCCTAACGATTTACTAAGAGGTGACCAAACTAGCCCATCAACTATCATCTCCCATCACTCACTTTCAGTCCACGTAAGTGTAGAAATTAATTGAAGAGGC